TCCTGCACCTGGGATGGGGTAACCCCCAGTATCAATACAGCCTGGGGGGAGAAAGGATTGAGAGCAGCCCTGCCGAGAGGGACTTGGGGGTGCTGGTGGATAAAAAGCTGGACATGAGCCGGCAATGTGCCCTGGCAGCCCAGAAGGCCAACCGTACTCTGGGCTGCATCAGGAGGAGCGTGGCCAGCAGGTCGAGGGAGGTAATTCTGCCCCTCTACTCAGCTCTGGTGAGACCTCACCTAGAGTACTGCGTCCAGCTCTGGAGCCCTCAGCACAAGAAGGACATGGAAGTGTTGGAGCGGGTCCAGAAGAGGGCTACTAAAATGATCCGAGGGCTGGAGCACCTCTCCTATGAGGACAGGCTGAGAGAGTTGGGCTTGTTCAGTCTAGAGAAAAGAAGGCTGCGGGGAGACCTGATTGCGGCCTTTCAGTACCTAAAGGGGGCCTATAGGAAAGAGGGGGAAAACCTTTTTAGTAGGGCCAGCTGCGTTAGGACAAGGGGTAATGGTTTTAAACTAAATCGGGGTAGGTTTAGGCTAGATATAAGGAAAAAATTCTTTACAATGAGGGTGGTAAACCACTGGAACAGGTTGCCCAGAGAGGTAGTGGAGGCCCCATCCCTGGAAACATTCAAGGCCAGGTTGGATGGGGCTCTGAGCAACCTGATCTAGTTGGCGGTGTCCCTGCTGACTGCAGGGGGGTTGGACTCGATGACCTCTAGTGGTCCCTTCCAACCCAAAACATTCTATGATTCTATGATTCTAAGGAAAGCAGACCTTCAGTAACTACTGTCAGAGATAGTAAATCCCCAGTCTGAAGATCTGGAACCCATACAAACCACTTAGTTTCTTCTGAATGGTGGCAGGCTGTCAGACCAGTCTGAAAAAGGACTGAGTCCACAGAACTCCTTCCTGCAGTTTATTCATAAGTTTCAGACATTTCAACCTACATGACTAATTACAAACACCTCAGGAGCTGGCTTTCACAGGCCAGATTCCTATAACATATTTCACCATCGAGTCATCAACTAACAATGTATGCACTATGTGCTGTCAGAAAAACCTATGTGCTCTTAAACCTACTCAGCTTGCTTCGCTAGCCTTGGAAACCAAAACACAGAAACAAAAGAGACTGCCT